CATTGCTTGATGGCCGACATTCGAGTCGATAATTGCTGCAATTTCATCACGTGCGTTGGATGTTGGCGTGATGATTGCTCGACCATCTGACGCATCGACCCCGGTGTTGGGAAAAGTGTTCACCTCTGCCCTCCCCGCATGGCTTGTTACCCCGCCTAGGCGAAGTTTCAGTACGGAGTATGGAATGGGAAGATCGTTGCACTTTTTGATGGACTGGGGGCCAGTAAACCATGATTCCAGTAGCTCCCGGCTCACATGGTTGTCACCTCTTGCGAGAATTTCGGCCTCATCGAATTTGAATGTGTGGCCGGATCTCGTCGAATGAGCCGCAACTTGAGAGCTGGCGTCATTTCTGCGCACCGCTGCCGCGTGTTCGGCCATTCTCGTTCGGAGCTGTCTTCCGGTTTCTCCGACGTAGTTGCTTTGTCCGCAACTGTTCTTGCTTTACATAAATGATATTTCAACAGCAGTTAAACATTCTCAATCACTTATTTATGCCGATGATCTCAAATGTGTATATTCTTTCAAAAACTCTACGAGCCTTCATTGCCTGGAGCAAATCCATGCTGACTTGCTTGCACTCTCAGCTTGGAGCTCAAAATGGCTAATGGAATTCTCTCCGTCTAAATGTCGTTATATGTGTTTTGGACCTGATAGGCTACCCCAACCTGTGGTCTTTCAAGGAACACCTATGACTGAATGTGCCACCATCAAGGGTTTAAGCAACATTAGTAATCTTGATCTCTCGCCGCACGCTGACAGAATTACAGCCAAAGCTGCCCAGATTTGTGGCTTTATTTCGTACAATTTCTATCTTCCTGAAATTAAATTAAGGCTCTATCGTATATTTGTACTTCCCATTCTGGAGTATTGTTGCCCATTCTTTGGTTTGATGAATGAAGCCAGTCGTTTAAAAATTGAAAATGTCCAAAGACGTTTTTCAAAAAAACTTTTAGATAGGGAACATCCCAATATCTCCTACTCAGATAGATGCCAACTAACTAACCTAAAATTTTTATGGGTTCGAAGACTAGAAGCGGGCTTCTGTCTCCTCTTTCGCAATAATCATAGTTCAAATTTTCCTCGGATTTCAACACTTACCCCTTGTAGTCGCCCATACAATCTTCGCAACTCGTCTCTATTTATACCTCCTCCAGCGTCCTCCACCTCTAAGCGCTCCCTTTTTTTCGCTTCCAGGTATACTTTCCTCTGGAATAACCTTCCAATAAATCTAAGATCATCAGAAAATCTACACACCTTTAAGAGAAGGCTACGCCTTTATCTGAATACTGACTCGATTAAACTTTTATTTTCCTCATCCTTCCCAGACAACTTTTTCTATGACACTGAGAAAGGGCCACCGAGAATTTAGCATGCCGCTATTAAATTTCCGTATCTGTTCACGTTTCCTTCCTTTATGAGTAGTCTCGCTACCTAAGATCCCTCACCAGAAATGTTAATTATTCCAATTTTTCAGTTCATGCATCGTGCCCTCACAGAATGCGCACCATCGATGCTCTTGGCGAAACCTTCTGTATTCGCCATATACTAGTAGTTTGGTCGCATCTCCCTTCCCGCATGTTCGGATGGACTCGGTTGAATGAAATCGACCGCATCTGGGTTCCTATCAGCTTGAGACTGGTTTTCAATTTCGCCACTTATTTTTCTTATTCAAGGCGATACAGGCCAGTCCTGACCGACCCGCCTACGTACCATTTTATGAAATCCGTTACACAATGCCATATACAGCTGACATTTATTTCGGCCATGTTGATGTCGGACAATATTCCATGCTGTACCGCCACAGGCAGGCCAGTCCTCCCTGTATTTTTCTGATGCTATTTTTCTGAGGGGTTTTTTGTCTCCTGTTAAATTACTACAATCATTTTTAAATTTTGCTTTGGAGTTTTTTTTCACCCCTCGATTTTTCATTTTCATTTTGCTTAACGGACTTCTAATCTCAAAAACTATGCATTGCACTTTGTACAGAGTTTGCCTACCTCGTCTAAAATTTGCATGTAAATTTATTTTTACTTGCTTTGATGGGACCCCGACGGGTCTTTAATAAAAATAATTAAATTGAATTGAATTGAATTGTACCAGATCCGATAAACGACTCCAGACGTTTCTAGCCGTGGCAGTGGGTCTTTCGGTTTCATGATCAGACGCCTGATGGTTGCCTCCAGTCTGTGTGCCACTCCAATCCCAAGTGGTGCGAGAAGGCGGCTGACAGCTTC